GAAAATATCTTCGAGGACATGAGTAGGTGTGAAGGACATGGACATTGATAAAGCACCTAATCAAATGCAAAATGCACTCCCATTAGAGATAAGGAACTTTCATCCCAGTGAGGGAAAGTTACCCAGGTCTGCTCAGGGGACTAGCTCTATTTACAAAATTCATACATTTTCTTCTCCTAAAGCCAAAGTTAACTTTTCTAAATTGAAGCTTAAAAATAAAATAAAAATCTATTACTGTACATAAATCCATTGCTTTATTTTAAGACATGTTGCTTTACATAGTTTGGAAATTTTAGTATCGACTAAAATAAACTCTCAATTCCCAGAGACTATAGTAACGAAATACTGAGGGTTGGAGCTGCAGTTGTTGGTTTCCCTTATCATTTTTGGCTTATTTTTTTCCTTTCAATCTCTTCAGTGAGAAAACGACCACCAGTCTGCATCTTTTTATTTTCTTTTCTCTTTACCTTAAAATAACCTACTTCAATGATGAATAAAGTTATATTTGTGTCTCCTTCATTTACCAAGGAGCTATAAACTAAAGTATGTCTAGAAGCTGAGAACCATTTTTTGTTTGGAAAATTATTTTGTTCACACATAGACATTGATGGAGGCATAGAAGTCTGGAGTTGAGCTTGTTATTAAATAATGAAATGAAGATGAGCAGAGATGCTGGCACAGGTACAACCGATCCAGAAAATCTCTGAGAAGGGAAATGGAGAGGTGACAGAGTGTTGTGCAATGCTAGAAGGCATAGAACAGATTACAGATATTTTAGAAATCTGGCAATAAGCATGGACTTCATATATGGAGCTAGTGTTTCTAAAATTATTATGAATATGTCACTGGTGGAAAGGAAGATACATTTAGTGAAACAGATTTTTTTCATATATATACGTTTCTTATAATAGAAATCAAGAAAATATAACAAGCCACTGGTGGAAGAAAAGATAAATTTAGTGAAACATAGATTTTTTCACATATTTATATTTCTTAAAATAGAAATCAAGAAAATATAACCAGCACATGGTATCTAAGCCCCAAAAAGTGTGCTAAAAATAATTATGGAATTAAATTATAGTTAATGGACATCAGAATACTGAAAAATTGTGAATATGTTTCATGAAACCTTGGCATTTTAGATGCATTTCTAAAGACAATATAGAAGTTTTAATCATGAGAGGGATATAATGTATTTCTTTATGACTGCTTATGATTTCAGTTGGATCCCAAGAATGTAGGTTCCTTCAAGAATTTCCTTGCCCACTTATTCTAAGTTTTTCTGGTCTGTGTTCAGTAAAGCCATCAGGGAGAAGGTGCCTTAACATTATAGAAATGAGTTGGTAGGGATGAATTAAGAAGCCATTGAAAAAAGAAAAGAGATTGCAAATTCGATGTGAGCATCAGATTGACCAGTAAAGTTCAGGAAAATATTAAGTGATTAGTTCTGTCACAGTCTGTGAAATTTTAGGAAACGGTGCTGGAAAGTTCCTGAAGTAGGATTCTCATATTTTAGGAACAACAGCTTGTGCTGAGTTGAACTTAGAGAATTCTTGAGACATTGTGTAAGTTCTACCTTAGCGACTCATTGGAACACAGTGGGAGTAAAATAGTGTAATGAAGAACATGAGTGCAGAGATGAATTTATGTCCCAGTGCTTGCCCTTGATCCCTGTAAATAAATGAACCCTGTAATGTCTCAGCGTCCTCATATTCAGCGATACCATTGGTGATGATGATCGTAAATATGACTATGTCCATGAGAACTGAAGTAGGTCATTAACCCAAAGTATCCACTGTCACACATGTAGTTAATGCTCAAAACTTGTACTTTATGATTAATGTTTAAAGCATAGACTGTTGAAGAGAAAGACTGATAGCAGACATAACTAAATAAGCTACAGACATAGTCTATATAAGAACAGACAAAATCGTGAACTGGGACAGTGGCAGTAAAAACCGAAAAGAGGACAGTTATACAAGATATTTCAGAAGCATAAGTGCCTTCATGATTCATTAGATGTGGGAGGCAGAGACATGGCTGAGTGTTCACGCCTGCCTCGCTGGGACAACTGTAGTGTTTTTACCAGATGTAGAACAATCAGAAAGAGATGACGATTTGGAAGTGAAATCATGGATCTAGAATCTGTTCTAATGTATTGGCTATACATTGAACGTATTCTTCAATTTTTATCCATCTACCACCAAGGAACTATTTCTCTCAAGTATAGTACAGATGACAAAATCAGTGGGAAAGGAGATGACTCAGTTGAAACCAGGACTGTCAGATAGCATTAAATTACTGGTGAGAAAATTATTTCCTCTGAACTGTTCCTTGTATCCTTCTGTTCACATCAAAGAGAATGTTTGACTTTGGTACTAGGTACACTTCACCATAATTCTCTCTTTCAACATATTTAGAGCTTGGGGGAACATTTAAGTATGTAGTTGTTTTAAGAATAGTAGTTTTTGTTACTTTTTTTTATCAACTTGAATATATAACAAATGCTTTTGGCCTTACAAGTATGGTCTTGATATGAACTTTCTTTTAAAAATCCCATTCATTTTACTAAAAGCTATTAAAATAATACAAAGTAAAAAATCCCGAGGAACCAGCAATACTTCCAGCACTTGCATAAAACAAAAGTAGAACAAATGGAAGTTAGAAAACCTTCACTAAGCTATGTTATAATTTAAGCAATGGTCTCACCCAGTTACAACATAGGCTTCTTCAAAAAGATAGATACATTTTTATGTCAAGTTTGTAAGAGATCCACATTATAATAATGCTTTGGTTCAAAAATTTGTAATTAATACTGTAATTTGTACTGCTGATGATTTCCCAAGAAAATTAACATGACTTAGTTATGGGTAAAAGCTATGCATCAGAGATTAAGAATGACATCAAAAATCAAACAAAATATAAAACACTTTCATCACTACAGAATCAACTGTTGAAAGAGGAGGTTACTTCTCAATATCAGTGCCAATTTTTCATTCAATCCTAGATTTTCACAGAAGCCATTATAATGATACTGCATACAAAATGCTAATCAACAGGAGTGGAAAAGAAGGGCATTGTAGAGAGTAATCACTCTGTCAGCAGTTGAAAGGAGTTGACCAGATCTGTTAAACTATGCTATACAATGTCAAATATTTTCAATACAATTTTGTCAAGATTTTCTTGGAAAGATTAATAGCCTTGTAGAACTTTGGTGTTTTTCTTAGCCATGCTTAAACTAAGTAGACAATTTCCCCCAAGCACTATCTCTTAATAGGAAGGAAATACCCTATGTCATTCTTAATATGAATTATTGAGAAGGGGAAATATTAGGCCCTGTGATATAAAACCAACTCTTTTATTGCTATTATTTGATTTAATACCACCCTGGGCTCAAAAAAGACTGAAAACATGCTATTCATAAGTTTATGAATTCTATTTTAGGGTGCAGAAATAATTATAGAAACATGAATATACAATAGAATTTAATGCTCGATTTCATATTCTGGAAGCACACAGATTTGGAGATTATTTTTACACATTTTCTTCCCTTTACAGATGGAACACTTCAGTTCAGCAATAATCCTTAACTTTTTATTCTGGACTATATAAAAGATTGTTGTGGTATAGAATGCAGAAGGCCACTTTTAAAAATATAATCAATTACTCTGACCTTTCAGATTCCTTTTGAAAAGCAGTAGAACCTTAATACTTGAAAATGCTGAAAACAATGTTAGGGCCAGTAAACGCTATAATTTAGAAAATGTTGTTTTTCAGCATAGACTCTTAAATGTCTGTCTTTGTGATGGTCTTTTATTTGCCTGTCTATGTACAAAGGCATAGGACTTATTCCAATTTTTTCATGATAAAAATATGTTCTATAAATTATAGACAAGAAACAGATATGTGTGAATGAATCAACAAAAATAGTTCAAATCATAGAAATGTATTTAAATGAGAAATTTTAATAGATGGTAAGCTGAAAACACAATGTTCATATATGAAATTTGGACATATTTAAATTCATATGATTTAGAAAGCATATTAGGAGAACTCTGCCCACACAGTGTGTTTGTCACTTCAGAGGGTTCCAACTGGCAAGCCATGGGATGGATTTAGTCTGGAAATTTGTCTAGCTCTCTGCACATAGTATTTTTAATCCATTAATGCCATTGAAGATTATGATTATCGTATTTAAATAATGATTTTTAGCTTCTTTTGAAAAAATCTGAAATTCTGACCACATTATGCCTCATGCATACTTGAAAATTGAAATTATTAAGACCTGTTATTGGTTGAGTACTTCCAAAAGTGCCTGATATCATTGTAGATATTTTACTTTTTACTACTATGATTATGCTTTATATTACTATTTGCATTCCCTTAATATTTCTGTAATGTGTTTTTTTTTTTCCATAGAGATAGCTTGAAAAGCTGATCTCTCCAGAGATTCAGTAAATTTGCCTGATAACAATCAGTTATCTATAGCTGCTAACTGATGAGTTGGGATTTGGTCCCAGGCCTGTCCAATATCCCAAACTTAGTCTCTTATCCACTGATGGATACTGATTAAAATATGAAATTACTGAATGTAGAATAAGTCAATGTTTACTACAGTCACATCTCTGCATTTATGGAAGTTTCATTGTTCCTGTCTATTTTTTAAATACTGCTATTTCAATATATTATAAAACATATTTCCTAATAGAAAAATGAACTTATACCTTATAAATATTTTGTTTATAAAATATTTGTTACTCAGTTTTTTACTTACATAAATTAACAAATGATTTACTAATCCAATTTGCTCCAATTTGATAGAATACATTTATATTTATCAATTTTACCAGACTAATAATTATAATTTTCTCTTGGAAATTTAAACACCTCATTAATTTTCTGAATATCATTTGGAGACAGGTATTGAAAAGACTTCCAAATCATAGTCACCAGAATTTTAACCCCATGTCATCCAAAAATTCATTTTGAATAAATCTTACCTGAAGTTGTCTTCACTACTTCAGTGGTATTTCTCAGTCCAACAAATGAAAATTGGTAAAGCCTCCATGATCTTGTGTCACCCACTTCAACAGAACTACGCTTCCACTGATACACAATTTCCTCACGTGGGTAGCCATCTGCCGTGGGATATATAATGTACATATGTAGCAACCACATTCTATTAGCAAAACATTGAGGTAAGTACTGACAGAGACTAGTAAATGAGATGAGGATCCAGGATTAAAGGACATAGCAATAGGTGAAATAAATGCCATGATATTACATCCTAGTGGAATGTAGAATTCTCAAAATTACCCTTGAAAATTACTTAAATTGCATAAAAAGTATGCTATACTTATACATAGTTTCATATATTCTATATACAGTACTCATACTTTACATCACCTGAATAATGTGTAAGAACTGACCAGGATATAATAAATAGAAGATAGGCACAATGGTGTGTCATGGTGAAGGATAATCACTAGAACGAGATTTTGCAAGTCATATAGTAAATGAGAGAGAAGAGACCCAAATTCCTTTCTAGAGCAGGATGGAAGATGGTGGGGAAAAAAAACTCAATGACTTGTATCTATATTGCCATCTCTCAGTTTGTTAAGATTCCGTTTTAAAATACATAGAAATATAAAATCAAAGCCAGTAAGTAGAAATGCTAATGGGAAGATGGCAATGACCTTGACACAAAGAGAACAGAAAGTCTTCATGAAAAGGATATTACACAGAGAGATAAGATAATGAAGGGGTTTCTCTAGTCATAACATCCTAGGAAATTTTCTTAATTTTTTTCTCTTAATTTATATTTTTATAGGAATAACAATAATACATAAGTATTTATCTCATGAAATTGATGACCAATGTATGTATTTCTAGATATTTAAAATTATGTTTAAAGAATTATTTTGCTTATTTGACAGGCAGAGTGACAGAGAGAGGGAGAGAAAGAGAGATCATCTAACTGCTAGTTTACTCCCCAAATGGTCACAGCAGTCAGGTCTGGGTCAGGCTGAAACCAGGAGCCAGGAACTCCATCTTGGTCTTCTATCTAGGTGGCAGGGGCCCACATTCTTGGATCATCATCTTCTCCCTTCCCAGACACATTAGCCTAGAACAGGAAAGGAAGCAGATCATCTGGTACTGGAACCAGGACTCCAATGTGGGAAGCAGGCATTGAAAGGAGTGGCTCAACCTCCTGCACCACAACATTGGCCCAAGATGACCAATGCATATTTTGGGAAGATAAACATTATTAAGTAACCTGCAGGATAAATTTTTTCCAAGTAAAACTGAATAAACAAAAACTAGATAGCATCTGAACTATTTGTCTACTAATAACCTTATATAGATGAGTCTTGGTTATGGGTACTCATTGACTACTTGAAATAAAATACCATATAATTTCTCCTATCCTTTTGATTCAATAACATGTTTATTATATGTTTATTAAACAAGGATAGAAGAAAAGCAAGAGGATCCCTAAGCACTACTCTGTGTGTGTGTGTGTGTGTGTGTGTGTGTGTGTTTATTACAGGATGTATTAAAACCTGACTCGGGAGAGAAATAGCCCCACTAGGAAAATTAAAAGGTAAGAAGGTTATCTCTGTGAATTAAGAGAAGCTTTAACTTTATAAGGGAATATTCCACTCTTGGATGAAGTATTTGTGGAAGAAGATTTATAAAGGAAATTTTTTTCTAAATTTGTATGCAGCACAATGACATTTTTCTTCTGGTTCCCTATGAAACTGATATAATGATCAGATCATGGCTTCCCTATCATTGATTTTTTTTAACTATTCCTATATTTAGTTGTTTCTTATAAGTCACATTTACTCTCTGGCTGGGAAATTACATTTATAAAAATACAAATCTAAAATCTATAATCAGATTTTCACTGTATTTTTCATGTACAACTGGCAAATCAAAAACAAGGAGGAGATAAGGGACCTAAGATGAAATGATAAGGCTGACTTTGAGGAAATAGGCTTACCTGTTTATGACTCAGCATACAACACCTAGGTTACTAAAGCTTAAGTCTATGTTAAGAATCATCATAAATCCGCTTATGTTATATTATCTGATAATAAATGAATAAAAATAGTACCTTTACAGAATTTTATTGTGTGCTAAGTAGCATATCAAGCATTTTATATATATATACATATATATTTTATATAAAATAGAAACAAACAGTATTTTTGTAAAACAGAGCAATAATATGCCAGAAAACTCCCCTCTTGAGTCCATTGGAGGAAAGAGTAGAAAATGAATGATCAATGACTATACTTTTTCTTTGAGTCCATGCTTGACCTTAAAATTCATCTTGGGGGCTGGCACTGTGACATATTGGGTATAGCCACTACCTGCAGTGTCGGCATCCCATATGGGCACCAGTTCAAGTCCCAGCTGCTCTGCTTGGAATTCAGCTCTCTGCTATGACCAGGGAAAGCAGTGGAAGATGGCCCAAGTCCTTGGGTCCCTGGAGCCACATGGGAGACCTGGAAGAAGCTCCAGGCTCCTGGCTTCAGATCAGCCCAGATCTGGCCATTGCAACCAGTTGGGGAGTGAACCAGCAGATGGAAGATCTCTCTCTCTCTCTCTCTCTCTCTCTGTCTTTCTAATAAATAAGTAAATATTTTTAAAAAATCCATCTTGACAGAGCTCTCCAGGAAAGCAATGCTAGTTTATTAAAAGTTTACAACTCAATGAAATCAATTTGTAATTACTGATAAAATAGATCCATTCTTTTGAAGGAATTGTGATTACTATTGTTAAAATACTCACAATTAACAATACAATGAATGCAATATTGCAAATCTCTGATTCTCTTCAATTGAGATTGAAATCAGAAAGATTACAGCTGATAGGACATATGGAATACAGAAAGATAACTACTTACAACTGGAAAACTCCAGGGGGCAGGAGTGTTCATCCATTGGGAAGTTGTGCAACTGTAACTGGCACTCAGCATCAATTGTCAACCTAAATAGAAACATTTTGGACATAATTTTTAAAATGTACATTAGCACATTTCTAATGATGATTAGTTTTTAATCCTGGAGCATGTATTTTCTGATTGGTAACACAAAGTGATCTTCACTGAAGAAATTCATAAAGTCCAGGAAAAAATTATGTAAGACTTATTGTAATCTTCTCATATTCCCAGACCAAGGAATAATAAGTCATTTACCTCAACCCTTTTCACTTGAAATATATTACTGTATAAAATTTCATTTGTTGTGTTTTGCAGTGTTTTTTGACAAATTAATTGCACACATATGAGATTTCTCACTGAATACATTTAACAATTACTTAACAGAACAAACTGTTTTAAGAACTTAAACTCATTTACCCTTTGCATGTAAATGAATGTTGATGATTTTCAGATCTTGTCTACCAATTAAAGCAGGACCTTCTGTTTGTAAGTACTTGTTAGCTGTTAGTTTTAAATTGCTTTAGTGTATATATATATATGTGTGTGTGTGTGTGTGTGTGTGTGTATACATAGACATATTTGAAGACTTCAGTGTGTCTCAGTTATTTTGTCTCTTCAGTACTTATTAAAGCATAGAAATTCTCTGAGTTGCTAGTTTCAGTCTGACTCCAAGAGAGGGGGATTTAAAGGAGTCCAGATGTTTTGACCACTTTTGGAGGAGTATGACCATAATGCCAAATTGTTATGATGATGAATGGAAAATTTTTAAAATTTCATATTTGTTGGCTATATTTCCTGCAATGTACATACATTACCATTCAAATATATAAAGGGTATTTTATGAAAATTATTTTAATCATTGTTAATAATTATATATTCTTTAAAAGATTAGTTTTATTTAAAATGAAATTACAATTAAATTTGATGTTTTATTAGCATTTTTCTCCAAATTTAACTAGTATTACTAAAAATAAATTTTATTGAAGCTAGAAAAACAGACACAGATATATACTTAAATCTATGCGTGCACCCACAGACATATATACTTACCTCATTACAGATAAGTAACCAGAATAAAATCATCTCTCTATATAGATTGGTAACCACTCATACCTTAAATGAATCTCCTTCACTTGAGTGACTTTTTTTTAAAAGATTTATTTTATTTATTTTGAAAGTCAAGGTTACAGAGAGAGAAAGAGAGAGACAGAGAGAAAATCTTCTACCAACTGGTTCATCCCCAGATGACTGCAATGACCAGGGCTGAGCCAGGATGAAGCCAGGAGCCAGGAGCTTCTTCTGGGTGTCCCCCATGGGTGCAGTAGCTCAAACACTTGGGCCATCCTTCATTGCTTTCCCAGGCACATTAGCAGGGAGCTGGGTGGGAAGTGTAGCAGGACCCAAACCAGCAATCATATGGGATGCAGGCGTTGCAGGCAACAGCTTAATCTGTTACGCTGCAACGCAAGCCTCCCATGAGTGACATTTTTGAGTTAGCTTCCATAGTTAACTATTTTTGTAATTCCTCAAATTAACAGGGCTCAAAAAATAACTGCAGTGTTCTGAAAACAGTAAAGGGACTTGAGATAGTCTGACTTTACATTTCAAAATCTAGAGAGAGCTTTTATTTCTCACACAGACTTTGATTTCCACTAGATCAAGTTCCAGTCATTACTTCCTCTCTAATTTAGAAGGTCATGACAAATACAAACTAGGGGTAGTGAATTTCTTTTGTGATTATGACCAATTTTTTAGTAACTGATATAATACTGATACAGGTTGTAGAACCATTTTAAAGAGTTCTATTCCGTATGTTTAATATTCTATGAAGCATTAAAATATACCAATGAGCCTTTAACATAAGTAATTTAGAAGCTACAAGTTCTAGAATGTCAATACCTAGAAGCATCACATTATTATTTTTATTGAAAATGTAAACAGAAATTTTTAATGTTATGTTTATTATGTTTCAGGATCCCTGTTAAGCAATTATCATATGACCTATTTCATCTTTATAACAACTCTGTAACATAAAAATCACAATATAAGTTTTATAGAAATTAAATGAAAGGCAAAAGTATTTGTTCAGTTGTAGTGCCAGCCTAAAGAGGAGAAAGGAACAAGGTGCTGCCAGGGCTGTTACCAAGGCCAAACATCAGGCTTACTGTGCAGATAAGGTTCTGAAATGTCTTCCATCAGCAATACCCCTGCCACAGTTAGCTTCCCCTAATTCCTTGTAGGCAGAAATTGTAAACAGTTGCTCCTTTTCATACAGATAACAAGATAAAAAGAATCAAAACCAGATTTGTTTATTTCCTAAATCTATCTACCTGCATACTTTGCTACTTATTAACAAAGTCTTATCATTGAGAAACTTCAGGGTAAAATTATTTTAAATGCATGGGGCAGGTGTTTAGCCTAGTGGTAATGGAGTTTGTTAAAATGCCTGTATCCTACATCAGAGTACTTGAGTTTGATTGCCAGCTCCTTTTCCTGACTGCAGCTTCCTGCTAATACAGATCCTGGGATACAGTGGTGACAGGTCAAGTCACTGAACTCCTGGATTGAGTTCTCAGCTCCTGCCTTTGCAAGGCCACTAAACGAATTTGGGTAATGAACCAGTGGAAGTGAAGGGTCTCTGCTTCTCTCTCTCTTTGCCTGTTGAATAAATAAATAAACACTTTAAGAAACCCTAAGATACTGGTATAAAGTGATGTAAATAGAAAAAATTCTAAATGTTACCTAATAATTTAGTTCAGAAGATGTAAAATAGTTCCTTCAATTTTTCCCAAAAGATTTGTATTCCCAAAACAGAGAGTAAGTTAAATAAAAATATCCTATCAGTGTAATGGGAAGTGAGGTGCCAGGAAATGGAAGATATGGTTTTTAGATGTTTGCCATCGAATAGCTAAAAAGAGAAGGATGTATGGAGATCTCCATATAAAAAATGCTCCTTCGGTTATGATTTTCATTGAAATGAAGATTTAACTGAACATAAAAATTGATGATTACAAGGATGAATGTTTTAGTTGCGTATTCTAAAGCAGCAGGACTTCACATGTAACAGCCAGGGTTGTTGCCAGTATGAATCTTGCAGAGGCATGGGGAATTTCATATCATGAGTGAAAGAACAACCGTCTCACAGCAATCATAAAAAAATAAGTTCTATCTATGATTAGGGCTTCAAAAAGGCTCTTAGCAATACAAAGAAAAACTAATTTGTGACATTATATACTAGTATTGATCACACATGTCAACTGTGATGTAGATAATTTTTTGTTTACTCCCAACAGTTAGTCCTTTCCTTTTTCCAAAACATTACCTTAGGGTGTAGAGCACTCGACCATCATTCCAGATCCTCAGCATTCTGTTAGGAGTGGTTATCCAGTGTGCATCAGCCTTTTTGGAGTTTCTGAAGAAAGTGTCTGGAATCCAGATTTTCCCCACCATATTGCTATTCAGTCGGAGGACTTTAATGGTGCTGTTAAATTTCAAACGTCTGTCATACCATGTTTGAGCAAAAAATATATCAATTGTATATTCCTATTTTAAATAAAAAAAAGCACAAAAGAGAAAAATTCAATACAGAAAAACTAGTAAGTAGGTGGACAGATAAGGAGAGAAAACAAAAGATCTTCTGTCCCCTAGTTTGCTTTACAATGCCTGAAACAGCCAGGGCTGGGCCAGGCCAACACCAGGAGCTTAAGGTCTCCCGCAAATGTGGCAGGGACCCAAGTATCAGAATCTGCTGTCTGTCAGGTTTTTTAGCAAGAAACTGGCTAGGACGTGGAGGCGGAGCTTAGCCCAGGCTTTTGAATACAGCATGTGGGAACCTCAGGCGAGAACTTCACCTGCCATGCCGTAGTGCCTGACCCTGTCTGTCTCATTCTTTTTCATTGCCAGTATAGGCAGGCCTACTTCGTTTCGAAACAGTTTGGAAGAAACCTACTGCCTCACCCATCTTTTGAGACCACTTTGATATTTTTATGAAAAATTAGACCGATCTAAATGAATTTGGCAAAAGAACATAACTTTGATATAATCCTTCACCTTATGTATCTATAGAGTTTGTCATGATATGTTAAGCCACCTAATTCTTTGTTGTGGAGGACTGTAGGATGTTTAGAAGCATCCTTGAGCTCTACTCACAGGATGACATTAGCAATCCCTCATCCCAGCAAAGTCATAAAAGCTAATATGACCTTCAGACATTGTTCAATTTTTCGAGGGAAACAACATTTTCTAGGTTCAAAACTATAATCTAAGAAAATCAAAGTCCAGAAGTAAAAAAAAAAAAAAAAGAAAAGAAAAAGAAAAAAGTCCTAAGCTGAAGATCTTAAGGATCCGTTGTGTTATAATAAAATGGAAATCCTCAAGAAACTAGCTGGTTGTGTCATGTTAGAATAGAAAAGTTATGGGCTGGCTGTGTGGTGCAGTAGGTTAATCCTCCGCCTGTGACACCAGCATCCTGTATGGGCGGTGGTTCTAGTCTCTGCTGTCCCTCTTCCATTCCAGCTCTCTGCTATGGCCTGGGAAAGTAATAGAAGTTGGCCCAAGTCTTTTGCCCCCTGCACCTACATGGGAGACCAGGAAGAAACTCCTGGCTCCTGGCTTCGGATCAGTGCAGCTCCGGCCGTTGTGGCCATCTGGGGAGTGAACCAACAGAAGGAAGACCTTTCTCTCTCTCTCCCTCTCACTGTCTGTATTTCTACCTCTCAAATAAATAAATAAAATCCTAAAAAAAAAAAAGGACAGAAAAGGTAAACCCACATAGAATGCAAAGTCCCAAAACTGGCAAATGGAAATACCTACTGAAACATATTATTAAATTTTGTATTATTCTTTTCTCTAAAAAAGATGAAGCTGATCAATTGAAATAATTTTATCATGTGCTAATACCTCTCAGAAAGTATATTCTTACCTGTTATATTGACAAATGACTTTCCCTCAAGTATGTATCACTAAGGTGGAAAGTGGTTTGACTCCGTTCAAGAAAAGCAAGTATGGTGTGATATGTAGGCCGTAAGAACCAGAGTTCACTTGAATTCTAACCTGTCTCTTCCTTATTTCCTTCACATTTACAAATGAACAGTTAATTTAAATATTTCCTTTGTTCCCTATCATCATCATTAGTTATCTCCCAATTGTTAATAAAAATGCTATCATTTTTTTCTTCTTGATATTATTATTCAGCATGTACTTATTTTGTGCCAAATCCTCTGGCTAAACATTTTTCATGCATCATCTTATTTAGTAAACTGCCTTACAAGAACAATAAGAATAAACTATTATAATAAAAGGCTAAATTATTTGGTATTTATATCATTCCAATGAAGTAGCCCTAAGTATGTCTTATATTGTTTTATAACTTGGTTTGAATTATGTCTATAAAGGGGAAAATTTCTTAGAATACAAGAGCTTAGGGGAGGAGAACTTATCCATGTTTCATAGTCCAATGCCCTAGGCTTACCTCTATTATATATTGAAGAACATAAAGAAAGGAGATACTGATTTTTTTCGGAATACATAGCCTATCAGGGTTAGTCTAGAATCTTCTTCCTTTACTTCATTCACATTTTACTCTGTTCTAGCCCAGTACTATCTGTCACCAAGTCTCATTCCTCCTGGAATAAACCATGTCACTTTTGTTCATGATTTATGAATCACAGATACCAAGAAGGGAAAATGATTTATGAAATCCTTTGTAAAGTAATTAGTGATAGGCTAGGGGATAAAGTAATTAAATCCTCATACATTGTGATTGAAATTTTAAAAAAGCAAAATAAGCACAAATGAAAAGTTTTGATTCTTAAAATTAGAATTTCATACATTATAATCCTGAAAGAGTTCTGAGGACCATTATTCTAAAACAAAAGTTCTTAATTTGGGTAAACTCTAACTTTTACTTCCAGGGTATATAGTTTATATCAGAATGCTAAAGATCTTGAAAATTTAGTTGTAAGTAAGCAACATGTTAGAAGGATTTATTGATTAAACAAGCAAACATACTTGCATGGAGTGTGCAGGTGGTGGTATACATTTTGTCATCATCCATACTGACAGCAATTAATGTTTCACTGATCTAACAAAGAGTCTATTATTAACTTAGTTTTAAAGTGTTGGTATTATTGTTTTAAAGTTTTGATATCACCATATTACAATATATTATATTATACTATACTATATGTTACTATATTATATTCTGTTAGGAACTCAGTCTAGGTTCTTTTTTCAGATTTGAGTAGAAAGTATTGTACAAGAACAAAGTTATGTCTATTATTATTTCTTATGCAGTATTTCCTTTGAGAAACATCTCTGTTTTGAAACAAACTGTAATATCTCTATACTAACAATATTCTAAAATGTTGTGGAATCCTATGTTTTATTTTGTAGTCAATAGTACTGAGTGGGTACACAATAATTGTTGAATTCTGATAGTCTAGTATTCTCTCTTACATACACACATGCATAGTGACATTTAATTCTTGATTTAAAAAAATCTTCAAACTTTAATTATCTTCACATTACAAGAGAGAGTGAAAAGGGAATCTGAAAGATTATCTTTTCTCTTTAAAGTCTTGAATCTATTTGTTTTTTTGTTGGCCTGTTCCATACTATTTCCATTGCCCCACATTTCCTCTGAAATATCTAATAAAACAGACAAATTTTATTATGAAACTCACCATATTGATAGCATTCACGGGACCAATGCTATTCACATACATGTCTGTGTGAATTAATGTTGGTTTCACTGTAAAGAGAACATAGGTATGTATGTATGGAGAAACACAGAATTTTAATGCTTCAGTCTTTTTTAAAACAGGCTTATGTGGTTTTATTAGAAGTAATTTATTCACAGTAAAGTTGGAAGCAGTTATTTATTCACAGCATATTAATAATTATTTTGTTTACAACAAAATATCTCCTTGTAAGGATGCAAATGAAATAAAACAAGCAAGGTGGAGTTTGAAACTAATTACCTTTTAAAACTGTATGAACATAAAGTAATCAGAAAACTCTGCTATTGGGTTTTCTTCATCTTTCTTTCAGATATCTTGAATTTCATCACTTTTCAAGCCCTGAAATCTATTTTTGCATTGTAACTTGACTTAACCCATATTAAAACCTAATTACTTAGTGTCCTAAAAAAAAAAAATCATGCTTTAGAAGCAAGAAGTAGACATAAAGAACAAGTGAAACAAATTGTTTTTGAAGCACTGCTCCCGGTTGATTCCTTTTTATGACCACTTTATCCTCCCACACTTCTAAACAACACAAAATCAATCTTCCTCCATGGTTTATGGTGTGCTGTCATCCCACAGATAATTTAAGGAAACCATATGGATGCCCATTACACCTCTGTTTGTCAGAGTGGACGATACTAAAATCTGTAACCTAACACCCTGGGTCATATGCATGTGCTCCATTTTCGTTTAATATTAAATGAACAAAGATTCATAATATTTTGGGCTTCAAGTGAACAAGTATACCTATCTCACATTTAATCATTTTCCGTAAACATGCTATGTCCTACTCTGTGGCAGATCTCAGTTTTCACCATTACTAGCATCCATGTTCTTGCTTTCACCTCAGTTCAAACTATTCTTCTGGGTCTGGACTTTGGGCTTGACAGTCTGACTTATGTGGACTGATGATAACAGTAACAAATGTGACCGAGCCAGATCTAAGCCTAGGCATTAAGCCTTCTAAGCTCTACTTTCTCTCTTACTCTCTGTGCTGCCATGAGAAGGAGTCTCCTTGCTAGTCTGCTGGCCCCATGTGCCCCGGTTTAACTGAGTGTAGATTAGTCCATCACTCGGCCAATTGCTCAATAAATTCTGGATGTTATATGCCACTGAAATGTGGTTGGCTGTTACACAGCAACAGGTAGCCAATGCATCCTCTTTTTACCATGTTTTTGTTTTAAATACATTACTTCATAAGGAGATTGTCACTTTTCTACAGCTTCAGCCTGTCTTATCTAGAATAATTTGAATTTTTAACTCCCAAGCTGCAATTGTGATTCATATTTCTTCATTGTGAACGTATCAATACCCCTCTGACCTTCAAGTCTAATGCTATTTATTCACTCTTTACCTAGTTTTTACATCATTTAATCAAAGTATAATTTAAAGCCTTCTGGTTCATGAACTAATCCAAATTTTCTTTAAACAAGGAAGACATGTTTATGTGTTTCTATCTATAGCATCCCAAAAAACTTTAATATACCTCCTATATCAGGTCGAAGTTTATTGTCATAACCTTCCAGCAGGTTGTTTAAGATGACGGTGACATCACCTTCGGGAACTTTTGGAGTCAAGACCCATGTTTTGTTAGAAGCATAATCTTCATAGTCATCATCAGATTTTTGGCTAGTGAAGCTAAGAAAACAGAAATACTAATCAACAAAAGCATAGGTTACACTTAGGTTGACTTTTACCCACAGAACACTGGTGGAAAAATGGAAATGAAGCAGTATTACAGGAATAAACAGAAAAGTAAGAATTCTCATTTGATGGTTAGTCTCACTAATTACACTGCAGACTGAGGGGGCAATTATATTAAAGTGTACTGTCCAGTGTTCTAGAATGGTTTACTTTCCCATCTTTAAATATACAGTATTTTATCAGTTAGTTTTCTTTCCTATATTTGATACCCTCCCTGCTTGCCTTATGAAGGAGCTATAAAAAAACACTATTTTTGTGAAAGGGATTTTTAAATGATCATGATGTAGTCTAAGAATTCAGGCGTAATGCCTACTTCTACTTCCTTGGAGAAGTTAACTTGCTCCAACCTATTAATGAAAGTAAAAGACTGATAATTAGATTCACTCCCACAAACCACCAGACATGCCTCTCCCCCCTCAACGGAACTACGAAGGAGAGCACAGTCTTGCTGTCTTTTCTTTCCCCAGGGTGTGTGTATTTTTGCCCCTCACTAGCACTGAAAGCAAAGGCGGTTCATTTATCTTTGATTGTTAAGAACGTGGGTACTAGGAAGAAAAATGCAGCTCTATATTCTAAACCACTCTTTATTACAGGAGAGGTTCATAAGCTGGAAACTCATATGCATGGCTAATGAATGACAATCAGGGAAATGAAATCACCTGTGTTGACTGAACATATACCTTCCTGTGATTCAGTCTAATAGGAATTAATAAATATTAACTTTTAATTACATTTTTGAAGCCCCTTGTTTTCCCAAACCTATCAGAAAACTGCCACCTTTAGGTTGGAAGCTAAGAGTGACTTTGGAGTGGGAATAAAATTCCCTTAGTTTGTTTATTCCCCTGATGCACATTGGATACCCTTCTTTTCCCACATACAAGATTATTATATTTTCCTGAAGCAGGACTGACACAAACCCTTGCAGTGATGTTATTTGGATTTCTTAGCACTAAGTGGATATTTGTTATTTTTTTTGGTTTAAATATAATTAAAAATGCATAGTTAAAATATAAAGTTCACTTTCCATCTTTATCTTCCATTTTTCTAATTATATACTGTATAATTGGTCCCATCAATTAGCAAAGCATCACTGCATTGCCTTGAATGTATATACTCAACTGAAATTTACCATGTATCTTCAGTCATACTCAGACATTGATAAGTATGTATATACATATAAACAAAGCTATGTTATACATATTGAATGTATGTGCACATATATGTGTGTGCATATTTACATATGTGCGAGTGTATATCAATGGTTAAATATTATAGAATTAAAATGATCAAGTGATTTACCTAGTGTGAGAATAAGGTTAGAAGATGAATGGGGTGGATGTTTGGCAAAGTAATTAAGATCCATGTCTATCTCAAATCAGAATGCCTGATTTGAGTCCTGGTTCCTTCATTTCCAATCCAGATTACTGCTAATGCACACTCAGGGAGGCATCAGATGATGACTTAAGTACCTGGGTCCCTGCAACCCACATGGGAGATCTACATTGATTTCTGGGCTCCTGCCTTCAGCCTGGCTTGGCCCTGACTTTTGCTGGCTTTGTGAAGTAAGCCAGCAAATCAAAGACTGATCTCTCTTCCATTTCTCTGCCCTACCCCCTCTGTCATTTCTTCAGTGGAAGGGGATATGTATTGAATTCTTCGGTTTTTCTCATTTATTGCACCAACCATATAAATAAATACATATATAATTTAAAAATAATAATGCTATATTATTGTTATTACAATTCTGTGCCATACTTGGAGTGAGCAAATAAGAGGTGCTTGTTTACAAGGAATGATGTGTTCTGGAATTGCACTAGTAATTTTCACAGAGTCGTCACCTACTGGATGCCAAATTGATAGTCTAATTGATATTTCATTAAAAGTGTTGGTGATAGATTTTTTTCATACTTCAGGATATCTACTTAGCTGTCAGAAAGTAATACTGAATAGAGAAATTAAGATCTCATACTTGGTCTGCCTTCTGGATTCACTTTTTCCTCTGTCAGTTAATATTTGATGACCTTGGTAAAGTTATATGAACTTGCTAAGCCTTAAAGTTCTCATCTTAAAATATAAAGAATATTAGCACTCTTCTTAGGTAAGGTTAAGATAATCTTTATCTATAAAAGTGCTTAGTACAGTGCCTGACACATAGTCCTGGAAATAAGTACATTGCAATTATTGTTATAAAGTGACCACTACTAGATTTATAACAGCTCCAGCCATGTAACTGCAACCTAAATGTATAGACGGTGGTTCAAGGCTTTTATTTAATAATGGACTGAGAAGAACAGAAAACAGATGTTTCCTGGCAAGAAAAATAATTAGCCCCTGCATTATAAATAAAGAAGATTTTTCTTTTCTATAACCTTCCCATTTGAGGTCTAAATTAAAGGGTTGTTTCAGAATTTGGGATCGATCATTTTCATATTTCACTTAAAATATTTTTTCTTTATAAAAAGAATGTCCTTTATTCAAGGTTGGCTGTTTTTTGTCCTAGAACTATCTGGTGGTAAAACCCTCTGCATTCACAGATGGGCTCTTTAGGGATAATGAAGTCTAACCAATAGATGGGGTATTCTGTAAAGAAGTGAACTCCATGAGAATGCCTGGGCAGAAATAGATTGATAAAAACTAAAGAAAAATAACTTAATAACTGAGTGGGCTGAGAGCAAATGAAACTTGAACTTCTATGCCCTTCAAGTGTTTTTGTTGGTGGTGGTGGTTGGTTGGTTAGTTGTTTTAACTCCTATAGAAAGAACTGAAAATGAAATCACTCTTTAACTAACTAACCACAGTAAAATAAATTCTGTCATTGGAGTGATGATTTCTGAGAGGCGATATCCAAAAAAGGTTGTTGAGTTTCACTTCTGAAAATCTTTTTTTTTTTTTTTAATTTTTTTGACAGGCAGAGTGGACAGTGAGAGAGAGACAGAGAGAAAGGTCTTCCTTTGCCATTGGTTCACCCTCCAATGGCCGCCGCCACCCGCGCGCTGCAGCCGGCGCACCGCACTGATCCGAAGGCAGGAGCCAGGTACTTATCCTGGTCTCCCATGGGGTGCAGGGCCCAAGCACCTGGGCCATCCTCCACTGCACTCCCTGGCCACAGCAGAGAGCTGGCCTGGAAGAGGGGCAACCAGGACAGAATCTGGTGCCCCGACCGTGACTAGAACCAGGTGTGCCAGCGCCGCAAGGCGGAGGATTAGCCTAGTGAGCCGCGGCGCCGGCCCACTTCTGAAAATCTTAAACACACTGTTAGAAGGTCAGAGATGACCAGGAGCCTTGGACCAGCAGCACCAGAATTTGCTGGAATCTTTCTGGAAATGCGAAGTCCTTGGACACACCCGGATTCCCTAACTAGAGTAATTATTTTAATGACTTCTGAAAGTGATTTACAAACATGATTGAGAATCTCAGCCATAGTGATTACATCAGTGGTGCTTATCCTTGCCCACACAATGATAAATCAGTGTGTCCTGTATACACATTCTGAAGTGGCTTTTCAAAATACAGATTCCCAGATTCTTGTCTTCACTCTTCTGAATATGAATCTCCCTGTTGTAAATCAGATTATTCATTTATATTTCTAGTTTTACAACTTCATAAATCATTTTGACTTTAGGGATGATTATCATTATGAACTCGGGTTTGTATTTAGAAACAAAAATTTATTTGGGAAAAAAATGGCTCATAGAACAAAACTATTGGATAGGCATTATTCATTGAGAGGTTGCTCACATTATCAATGATTCTAAACTTTTGAATTGTTGGATATATTTTCCATATTTGCCTGTATGAAGAATAATCAATTTCTAGAATTTTAAATTTTTACCCAGATACTTTGAATTCCCATCAATTTTTATAAAGCTTTAGTGTTTTATGGGAAAAATAAGTCCTTGCACTCTCACAGTGGAGGAGAAAACATTTGAATGAGAAATAATGTCTTTTCATTTGAATACCTCGACATTGGTGTTCAGCATCATAAAGATAGAATGTAATATTTTCTGTTCTCTAATATAGCCAAATAAGCAGATAAAATCAGAAGTTGCTTATTTTTTTAAGATTCATTCATTTATTTGAAAGTCAGAGTTTCAGCAAGAGAAGGGGAGACAGAGAGGAAAGAGAGATCATCCATCTTCTGGTTCACTCCCCAAATGGCCACAACTACCAGGGCTGGGGCCCAAAACCAGGAACCAGGAGCTTCCTCCAGATGTCCCTAGTAGGTGTAGGAGCCCAATCACTTCCTCTGCTTTCCCAGGCATGTTAGCAGGAAGATAGATGGAAAGTGGAGCAGACAGAAATCAACATATGCCCATGTGGGATGCCAGTGCTGCAGACGATGGCTTTACTCACTGAGCCCAGCAGTGCCCCTGTAAAGCTTGCTTAGCTTTAAGCCTGAACTATTTTAAATAGTTAGTGCTTCATTATTTTATAATGTTAGTTTCACTAATATTTTGTTGGTACAGTTTTGGTTTACTCTTATTTTATAGATGCAGTGAGTAACATGCAGATTAATTTATATCTCAAACTAAATCTCTCAAGACATGCATGCCAGGAAAATAATGCCTTTCAATAATTTCTATTAAAATTTCTAAGGCATTCGATTTCCTACTCTGTTAATGTTATTTCTATAGTGTAAATATCCACTAACAGCTAATAAAATCTCTCCTTCCTTTTGCCACACTCACAGGAGTCCTCTGCTCTCCAAATTCATGTCAGTTTGTCCAATCGGAATCCTGCTGTACAAAGCTATTAACACAGAAGTTCTTGTTCATTGCATCATTATGCTGAGAATCCATTGAATTCCAGAAACCATGCTGCAGTGTAGTACCCTGACATACTCATTCCTCTCTGCCTGCAAACTTTTCTTTGCTCCACCTTGGAATGTAATGCTTGGCATGATTTACTTCTTATTCTCTAATTTCAACAAAAAC